ACAGAGGCTCCTCTGCAGACCCTCCACCTGGACGTGTGGGGCCCAGCCCGCGTTCGTGGCCAGGGCGGTGAGCGGTACTTTTTGCTGGTTGTCGACGACTACTCGCGCTACACCACGGTCTTCCCCTTGCGCACCAAGGGTGAGGTCCCTGCTGTTCTGATCCCTTGGATCCGCACAGTTCGTCTCCAGCTCCGCCGCCGTTTCCGGACAGATCTTCCTGTCCTGCGTCTGCACTCTGACAAAGGTGGTGAGTTTTCCTCCGACCTCTTGAGGACCTTCTGTCAGGCGGAGGGCATCGAGCAGACCTTCACGCTTCCGGACTCCCCACAGCAGAATGGGGTTGCTGAGCGCTGCATTGGCCTGGTCATGGAGGTCGCTCGTACCTCCTTGGTCCATGCGGCGGCTCCCCATTTTCTGTGGCCGTTTGCTGTCCGGTACGCCGCGCATCAGCTCAACCTCTGGCCCCGTGTCTCCTTGCCGGAGACCTCGCCCACACTGCGTTGGACGAGGGAGGTTGGCGATGCGTCGCGCTTCCGGGTGTGGGGTGCTCGTGCCCTTGTCCGCGATACGTCCGCGGACAAGCTCTCCTCCCGCACGCTTCCCTGTGTCTTCCTTGGCTTTGTCCCTGACGCGCGTGGCTGGCAGTTTTACCACCCCACCTCGCGCCGGGTCTTCGCCTCTCAGGACGTCACCTTTGACGAGTCGGTCCCTTTTTACCGTCTCTTCCCCTACCGCACTGCCCCCCTCCCTCCCCCACCGCTTTTCCTCGCTCCTGGTCCCCCTCCGGTAGACCCCCTTCCCCCTCAGGGTCCTGCTCCTTCAGGTGTCTCTCAGGTAGACCCTCCTCCCGTTGCTGAGCCTGTCGAGGTCACAGGTGACTCAGGTGCTGCTGCGGGTGGTGCTGCTGGGGGTGCTGAGCCTGGGGGTGCTGGGCCTGGGGGTGCTGGGGCTGCGGGTGCTGGGACTGAGGGTGCTGGAGCTGAGGGTACGGTGCCTGAGCGTACGGAGCCTGGGGGTGCTGAGCCTGGGGGTGCTGAGACTGGGAGTGCTGGGCCTGGGTGTACTGAGCCTGGGGGTGCCGAGTCTAGGGGTGCTGAGCCTGGGGGTGCTGCGCCTGAGGGTACTGAGCCTGGGGGTGCTGCGACTGAGCCTACGGAGCCTGGGGTTGCTGCGTCTGGGGGTGCTCCGGTTCGGGGTGCTGAGCCGTCTCTCACACAGCAGCAGCTTCGTGACTGGTACGTCCGGCGCTTTTGCCGTCCTCGTGGCCCTGCTGGAGTTGGAGGTTCTGGAGCTGCTCGTCCTGGAGGTGCTCGTACTGGAGGTACTGGAGCTGCCGGGGCTGGTTGTTCTGGGAGCACTGAGGCTGGAGCTGCTGGAGCTGGGGACTCTGGAGCTGGTGGTACGAGCGGAGTTGGAGCTGCCGGCCCTGGGGGTGCTCTTCCTGGAGGTGCTGGAGCTGCTGGAGCTGACGACACTGGAGCTGACGGTCTTGGAGGCGTTGGTCCTGCTGGTTCTGGAGGTGCTGGCGAGGGGAGGTCTGCCGCTGCTGGGGCCTCTGGTGCTGACGTCGCTGGCTCTGGGGGTGCTGCGGCGGGGGGCGCTGGTGTTGGTGCTTCTGGTGCTGCGGGTGCTGGAGGTACTGGCGGAGCTCCGCCGTCGCGACTGTTCTTCGCTCCGCCGTCGCCGTCGGCTTTGCCACCGCCTGACACGGTGCTTCGCCAGGTTCTTTCCCTCCCGTCTTCCACTGGCCTTCCCCTCCAGCCTGGCTCCCCCCTCCCTGCTCCTGTGCCTTACACTGCGCAGCCGGACTCGCTTACGGAGCGTCGCGAGCCTGCGTCTCGTCCTGCCTCGCCTGTTCGCGCTGCTCGCACTGCTCGCACTGCGCGCACTGGTCCCACTGGTCGTCGTGTCGCGCGTCCGCGTCCTCCTCCTGTTCCTGGCACGCACATTATGGCCCTTCGTCCTTCCACTGGTCCACAGCGTGTCCCCCTACCGTCTCCTCCTGCGTCTTCTCTTCCTGACGTTCCCGACCCTGAGTCTGACAGTGTTCGTGCTGCCCACCCTACTGTTACGCGTCTTCTCGCCACTGTTGTCACTGACCCGTCGTTTGAGTCTGCTGCTGCGTCTGCCCTGGTCGCTGAGCTTGTCGACTTTGCTGCTGCCTGTCGTCTAGACTACGCCGCCAGTCTTGTTGCTGAGTCTGAGTCTGTCTGTCCTCCGTCCGTCGGGGGTGAGTGTGCTCTTGGCACGGACGTCCTTGAGGACAGGCAGGAGGACTTTGACTCTCTTGCGGCTGCTGTACCTCATCTCGTGGCCTGGTTGCTTGCCCCTGAGGGAGACCCGGATGCACTAGACATCCCCACTCCGCGCTCTTACGCAGAGGCGATCTCGGGTCCCTACTCCTCTCAGTGGCAGACAGCCATGGACGCAGAGATGGCATCCTGGAAATCCACAGGCACTTACGTCGACGAGGTTCCCCCTCCTGGGGCGAACATCGTCGATGGCATGTGGATTTTCAGGGTGAAGCGGCCGCCAGGTTCTCCACCTGTCTTCAAGGCTTGTTACGTTGCTAGAGGCTTCAGTCAGCGTCAGGGGGTTGACTTCTTCCAGACCTTCTCCCCCACCCCGAAGATGACCACTCTTCGGGTTCTGCTGCACGTTGCTGCTCAGCGTGACTATGAGCTTCACTCTCTTGACTTCAGCACAGCGTTCTTGCAGGGCAGCCTGCACGAGGAGATCTGGCTGCGCCGCCCACCTGGCTTTACTGGGTCGTTTCCGCCTGGTACCCAGTGGAGCCTCCGGCGGCCAGTCTACGGTCTCCGCCAGGCGCCACGCGAGTGGCACGACACACTGAGGACTACACTTGCGGCCCTTGGGTTTGCTCCTTCCACTGCTGACCCGTCACTGTTCCTGCGCACAGACACGTCGCTGCCGCCGTTCTACATCCTCGTGTACGTCGACGACTTGGTCTTTGCTACTGCTGACACTGAGGCACTCGCTCGTGTGAAGTCGGAGCTGCAGAAGAGACACACCTGCACTGACCTGGGAGAGCTGCGTAGCTACCTTGGCTTGCAGATCACCCGGGACAGAGCACGCCGCACCATTACCCTGACTCAGTCACACATGGTGCAGCAGGTCCTTCAGCGCTTCGGTTTCCAGTTCTCCTCACCACAGGCCACACCTCTGGCTACCAGCCACTCGCTCTCAGCTCCACCTTCGGACGAGTCCGTAGAGCCGAGTGGCCCGTACCCAGAGCTTGTAGGCTGCCTCATGTACCTGATGACTTGCACGCGACCTGACCTCGCGTACCCTCTTAGCATCCTTGCTCGTTACGTTGCGCCTGGGAGACACAGGCGAGAGCACTGGGAGGCTGCTAAGAGGGTGCTGCGTTACTTGTGCAGTACATCAGGCATGGGGCTGGTGCTTGGAGGACGCGACAGAGTTGTCCTCACTGGTCACTCGGACGCTTCTTGGGTGGACGACCTGGCTACGCAGCGGTCGTCACAGGGTTACACCTTCAGCCTTGGCTCTGGTTCTGTCTCGTGGCGGTCCACCCGCTCTTCCTCTGTTCTCAGCTCTAGTTGTGAGGCTGAGATCTACGCCACGGCCATGGCTGCACAGGAGTTACGCTGGCTCACCTACCTGCTTACTGACTTGGGAGAGCGGCCTAGTTCTCCTCCAGTTCTGTACGGCGACAACAAGGCGGCCCTTGCCTTGTGTCAGGAGCACAGACTGGAGCACAGGACGAAGCACATTGCTCTTCGCTACTTTCTTGCTCGAGAGCTGCAGCAGCGCGGTCAGCTTCGGCTTGTGTACGTGGACTCGAAGGCCAACACTGCTGATATCTTCACCAAGGCGCTCCCGCCTAGTGATCATCAGCGGCACTGTACTTCTTTAGGCCTTGTGTCCACATTCCCTCACTTGCTTACTGCTTGACTTTCTTTGTACTGTACTTTATATATTTCTTGTTGCTTGTCTTGTTCTATATCTAGCACTGCATGTGAACTGGCCTTGTGGCCTTTGCTTGTGCTCGGAGTGTGGTGACATTGTGATCCACCCTGGGCTTGTTTTGCTTTGCTGGACTGGTCTTGTGACCCTTTGTTCTCCCCCACTTTGCCTATGGGGGTGTGTTAAGTTGTAATGTGTTATATGTTGGTAGGCTGTAGTGGGGTAGCCAATATAGGGTACAACCCCAACTAGGGTTAGCTACTTGTACCCAATTGTTTCTTTCAATGCATCATTCTCACGCTAGTATTTTGATACGTTGTTGTTCTACTGCATAACTTCTGCACCGAATTGACGCGTCGGGAGATGGCAACTTCGGCGTGACTGACGGGGAATGTACCTAGACAGCCGAAACTCACGGCTCCTACAGAATCAGTAGTAGCGCTTTTTCAGCCTACACCCTCGTTAGTGCGCTGATCAATCAGTCTACACTTGTAAAAAGTCGCTGAAAAATCAGCCCATACACTAAAAAAAAAAAACTGAAATATCAGCCAATACATTATCCCCATGTCTAAAAAATCAGCCTTCCGACCCTAAATCAGCCTTTTTTCGCTGAAATCTGAGGCCCTGATAGTCACCCGCAGAATAAAATTTGAGGAAACACCCACAGGTAGTATTATGTGGTAGTCCCCGAATTTGTCTCGCGAATGCCTATGAGGTTGCTAAACACTACCACCTCCTCGGCCCCGTATAATTCATACCCCGTTCGAATGCTGATTTCGGATTAGACCTATAAATTCTTCATACAAGGGTAGTTAAGGGTGGGTGCCCCTAAATCGACCACGGTCATTGAAAATCTACAGAGGACGCCCCAGGTGTTTGTTACCACTTCCCTCGCATATCGGCCAACATGACCAAATGGTCGGATTTCGGGTTTGGTCATCGCAATGTTACACGCCCTAAGTCATATATATCTGACAAGGCATGCAAGCCTTCAGCTTTAACGCACCAACATGCGTAAGGCTCATCCAGATGAAGCAACCGGTACTAGCCCACTAGTAGCGAGGTATTTGTGAGAAGGAGTATCCCGGGGCTTGTCTCCACGAGTAGTATGCAATGCGGCTCTCGTAAAAGCCTGCGATGTTGACATGGAAATGGAGAAGGAAGGAACCAAGGGCAGAAAGGGACGACGAATGAATGATGCTAGTCTTATTGAGTGACGGCCGGAGTCAGAGGCGCGGAACAGCAGACAGAGAAAGAGAGAGCTGGGTTATAAAGACAGCTCTGCAGTGGCAGGCAGGAAGGCACACAGAATCCGTTTGTCAGTGAAAAGTTGACAACCAGAGGTGATGCATGCACCCAGAGGTGATACATGCATGTATATGCTTCAGCTGATGCTGATGCAGTGACTGAATCACGATTCGAGTCGCCTTTGGGAACTACCAAAAGCGGCTCAGATGTGAATGGGACAGCATGGGGATGACTCAGAGTGAAAGGCCAACGACATGCTAGGCGGAGTGAGAGAAAGGGGTGGAGTGCAATTGAAATAGGGGGTACTGAGATCAGTGCTCTATTGATTGCATGTGTCGAGAACGTGAGGGCTGAGTTGTGCTAAAATGTATATTTCCTGAACCAAGGAAAATATTTTTTGGTTCAATTGTTCGTTATTCTCTCTCAGGCAACGATCATCTTCATATATATACAGCACAGAATAACAAGTGAATTTGAGGAGCGCTTCAGCAAGCAACAGCAGCAGCACGGCAACAGCAATGGTGACAACATTGAACTGGGAAAGTTAAGTTCAGCTACGTGGCTTTGAGGCGCCTCAAACTAGCTATGTGGCTTTGAGGCGCCTCAAACTAGCTATGTGGCTTTGAGGCGCCTCAAACTAGCTATGTGGCTTTGAGGCGCCTCAAACTAGCTATGTGGCTTTGAGGCGCCTCAAACTAGCTATGTGGCTTTGAGGCGCCTCAAACTAGCTATGTGGTGCCACATAGCGTGGTGCTGTCACGCATGATGGGTGAGGTGGATACGAATCGAAGAGGTGAGGGGTCGCTAGGCCAAGCGGGAGAGGGATGCCATGCTCGAGTAGTAGTGCATCCAGAGTGGTGGTGGGAGCTTGTAAACGTTTTACGAGAGAACGTGCAGGCGAGAGGTGGGGATGGGGGAGAGGTGAGGATGGGGGAGAGGTGAGGCCGCGAGGGAGAGGAGGGAGGGAATCGGGAAACGGAGTGGCTCACGGTGAAATCACGCTAATGACAGTGCGAGCAGGGCAAGATATGGTGCTCCCTTCCAAAAGAAACAGACCCGAAGCAGATGTAGCCCCGAACTGGAGTGCGGCAAGCCAGGCGCACCCTGAGCAGGAACGCACGCGGCACTTTGAGACTTTTCACTGCTCACATCCTTCCCAACGGCTCAGTGAGTGGCACGATGGCAGCAGCGTGATGCGGAGGATCAATAGAAATTGTCCACATGCCGTGTCTTCAAGGGCTGGACGATCGCCGCAAGACTTGCGATCGCCTTTAAGCTCTCTATCGCCGTTCGACTCGCGGTCGCCGTTCGACTCGCGATCGCCGTTAGACTCAGCCGTTAGGCTCACCGGGCATGAGAGTGAGGAAGGCGATGGCGAGGCACGTCCACTTCTGCTGCGCGCCAGCCTCCACTTGGCCCGTTTGCATCAGGTAGAAAACGGCCAGCGACGCGCACCCCAGGAACAGCAGGAACAGCGCGAGCAGCACCGACCGCTTCGGGACGCGCCTGTGGATGTCCGGACCGGCGAAGCGGATATCCGCGTCGTTGGAGCCTCGCGCTCTTCCCGCGGTTGACGGAGGAGCGGCGAATGCGTTTGCAGAAAAGTCGAGAGCAGCGTCGGAGTCTGAATTAGGGACACGCGCATACCTAACCTGGGGTTGGGAGACCATGGTTACTACAACTTGTGGCAGATATTAAAGCCCGCGCCTAGAATGGCAGATTGGAAAAAATACTGGACTGGAAAAATTGTAAGCGAGCAAGAGATGTTTTCGCGGATTCTGGCTGGGCGAAGGCGAAACAGGCCACGAGGAAATACTGCGTAGGGCAGGGGGAACCGGTGCTTAGGAAAGGTTGGAAACTGCACGTAGGGAAGGGAGGAAACTGCGCGTAGGGAAGGGAGGAAACTGCGCGTAGGGTAGGGAGGAAACTGCGCGTAGGGAAGGGGGGGAACTGCGCGTAGGGAAGGGGGGAAACTGTGAACAGGGAAGAGGAAAGCTGCACGTAGGGAAGAGGGGACGCAGCGCGGAGGGTAGAACAGTGTAGGGTTAGAGCGAAGGAAGGCGAGAGGCGGAGAGGGATGTGAGGGACCGAAGGGAAGAAAGCGACGGGAGCGACGTGGACGAGAGACGGGAGGGACGGAAGCGACGGGAGGAAGGACGGGAGCGACGGGATGAGGGACGGAAGGGACGTGAGGAGCGGAAGCAACGGAGCGACGAACGGGACCAACGGAGCGACGAGCGGGAGCAACGGGGAGGGGCAGGAGAAACGGGACGAACAGGGGGTAACGGGAAGGAGCGACGAGAGCTATGGGCGCGACGGGAGCTATTGGCGCGACGGGAGCTATTGGCGCGACGGGAGCTATTGGCGCGACGGGAGCTATTGGCGCGACGGGAGCTATGGGAGGGACAGGAGCGATGGGAGGGCTGAGAGGCAAGTCGCGACAGTCGTGAATGACGGCTGCGGCTGCGAGCGTGAACGTGGGCCGAAAGACTGGTTCCCCGAAAAATGCGGAGAATATGGACTATCCTTGGGGGGAGATCAAAATGGCGCGAGAAATTCTAGTGGCAACTTTGGCAGGCTTGCTGACTCGGTATAATCCAAGCAAAAAATCAATAAGGAAAGGGATTGAACACGATGCCCGTTTGACTAACCCAAGGTTGCCTTGTGAAGAGGGCTCTTAAGTGATTCTTGCATTTCGCTAAGCTTTCGTCAATTCGCACTTAGCAAAAAGGGCTTTTAAAAGATTTTGTAACTCGCTGTTGACCGTTTGACATGGGTCTCTTCTGTCAAACTTCGGTTTTTGTGGTTCGTATTGCTCGAGGTGCTTGTAAATGGGGTGCAACTGGCTGGTACCCTAATACACGGGTGCAGAGTTTCCATCGCGGGCAGGGCAAATTCGCGTGCAGGGGTTGGGCATCTTGTGTACTCTAAGGAATTCCTTTACTCACACTTTAGCGAGTAGATCCCGAGGGGCACGTGTCAGTTCGGTTCGGCCTACAGTTCCGCACAAAACCACTCCCCAGTCGCCCCCGTACCAATCGCAATCCCCCAGATCAAAATGGCGCGAGAAGGCTAATTATAGTGGCAACTTTGGCAGGCTTGCTGACTCGGTATAATCCAAGCAAAAAATCAAGAAGGAAAGGAATTGAACAGGTATAGTACTCTAAGGAATTCCTTACTCTATTCACACTTTAGCGAGTAGATCCCGAGGGGCACGTGTCAGTTCGGTTCGGCCTACAGTTCCACACAAAACCACTCCCCAGTCGCCCCCGTACCAATCGCAATCCCCCAGGCCCATCTTCGCCCGACGTCTCCGCCTAGATAGGATCCCCCCTAACTAGTCTCGTCAATTTCATAGTGGCGCTGTTCTGTAGGCGTTACATTTCGGGAAACTGGGTCCATAAAATCTGCTGCAATCACAAGTTTATCGTAACCTAGGATCGTCTCGGGAAGGTTCGCACAGAGTCGTGCAGTTGGTGGTGGGCCCTTGACCTCAATTCAGAGTGAATGTAAAATGATTGAGATGATTAAAACATGCAAACATGGGCATATAAGTAGTAGTACAGGGGAATATGAAATGAACTAGCTAGCCATCTACTCTAAGGGGTACATTCCCTTATTCGAATTCAAACCCAACCGTGCGACTCGAATAGTTACGAAACTGTTCCCGCGATTTCCTTCTCCCTTACAGCTGCCGATGTCGTTTCATGCCGATGGTTCTAGATGCATCCAATTGTCTGCGTCGCTTCGAGTCATTTCCGACTCTTCGTTCTTCCATGCTTCGATACTGCGTGACTTATTTGCTACTGTCAGGAGTGCACAGTTCTTTTCTTAATTCACCATTCGTAACACCCCCCTTCACTCCTATAGCTCGACTTGACCTGCTTGACCACTCCGCTGAGTTCGGAGCAGTGTTGGTACTGCTGGCGTGGCAGTCACTTCGTTAAGAAGTCAGCTGCCATGTCACCAGTCGGGCAGTATGTCAAGTCCACCTTCCCTTTGTCCACTTTGTCATTGACGAAGAAGTACCACAACGCGATGCGCTTGATGCAGTTGACGAATCCAGGCTTGTTCGCGATGCGGATCACGCTTTGGTTGTCGCAGTGCAGGCGAAAGGTGGGCGAAGTTGGAATTTTCGCCTCTTGCAGGAGTTCCTGCAGGTAGAGGCCTTCGTAAACTGCTGCTGTCGCGGCGATGAACTCAGCTTCGACCGATGAGAGGGCAATAAGCTCCTGCTGCTGCGAGTTACATGAGATTGGTCCTCTTGGCTCGAGGCGAAACATGAACTCAGTCCTAGACCGTCGATTGTCGAGGTCTGCTGCGTGATCGGCGTCCCCGTAGCCGATGAGGGATGGGGTTGGCAATGTTGAGTAGCAGAGTCCAATCTTGGGCGTGGAGATGAAGATCTGTAGAGCGCGCTGCAGATCCAGAAGGTTCTCAGCCGTTGGTTTGCGGGAGTACTGAGCCAGTTGGCTCGCGATGTAGGAGAGATCGGGCCTGCATGTCACTAAGGCGAAGAGCAGGCAACCCAGCTGCTGTTGGTAAGTCTGAATTCCAACGGGGGACAGGGCTTTGTTGTCACGTTTGTGGTTCCGCCCGGAAGTGCGGTAAGGGGTGGAGAGCGGTGCAGGCGCAATACTGAAGCGTTTGCCAAGCTCCTCTGCATACTTAGCCGCTGAGAGGTGAATGGCTTCTGGCGCGTAGGAGATGTTAGGTCCCAAGAACTGCTTCACGTCGTGGTTGCAGGTGATGTCGATGTGCCTCGCCAGGTTCTTTTCGAAGTGTTCAAGCAACTCGTTGCTCGACCCTGCGTAGAGCAAGCTATCGAAGTAGACGGTAAGCAGTATGAAATCCCCGCGAAAGTCGCGGCGGTACATCTAGGGATCATGGGGCAGCTTCTTGAATCCTATCTCAAGCAGAATGTTGTGCAGGTACTGCTGCCAGAGCCTTGGCGCCTGTTTGATCCCGTACAGGGATTTCCGTAGCTGGCACACGCACGAATCTCCTTCGCCGTATGTGTGCGGCTGCTCCACGTAGATCACGGCGTCCACCAGTGTATAGAGTAACGCGTTCTTCACGTCGATTTGGCGCAGCGGGAGGTGTCTTGCGGCAGCGATGGCGAGCAGAATTCTCACGCAGGTGTGGCGGCTGACCGACGCAAATGTTTGGTCGAAGTCAATGCCATGCCTCTGATCATAGCCGCGCACGACCCATTGTGCCTTAAATCGCTCGACCGTACCGTCCGCTGCGGTTTTCACACGGAAAACCCATTTCCCTGAAAGGATCCTTCTCCCCTTGATTGCTGCTCGATCAACAAGCACCCAGGTGTTGCGAAACTCGAGCGCCTTAATTTTCGCATCCATCGCCTCCCGCCATTCCTTGCTATGTGGCCTCGTGAGGGCTTGGCGCGAGTTCTTTGGCTCGATGACACGTGGCGCTGTTGAAGTGGCGGTGTGGAGCCCAAAAAGCTACAGCCATGAAACAGTGTTGTCGTGGCGATGCTGCGGGATAACCTCCTGCACATCGTCGTCGTTGCTCTCTGGTTCAGGTGGTGCTGGCGGTGTTGCGGGATAACCTCCTACACGTCGTCGTCGTCGCTCTCTGGTTCAGGTGGTGCTGGCGGTGCTTCGCCTCTGCTGCTTCCTCCTGCTCCGCCGATTCCTCCTCCAAGGGAGTCTTCGTCGTCGTCGTCGCTGCTATGGCGATCGCCTCTTGTGAATTCGCCCCTGGTGTCTTGCTCCAGGATAGCCGCAACTGCTTCGACGTCGGGTGTTGCGTAGCTATGTCCGTCGTTGGCGTAAACGCGGTGCCGTTCGTCCGCTCGTCTTCATGGAATTGGTCGAGAAAGAGTCGCTCGTAGAATATCACGTCGCGTGCATGAGTGGTCTTCTGGCTGAGCAGATCCAGAATGATCCATGCCTTGTGCTCGTGGTCGATGCCGAGGTGGATTCCCCAGCGCGCGCGGCTTGCGAATTTCCCGATGGTTGATGTCGGCGGGCGATACTGCACCATGCACCCCCACACGCGGAGCATGGATGTGTCCCCTTTCGTTCCCGTCCACTTCAGGTGCGGGGACAAGTTGCCGGTGATGGCGGTGGTTGACAGCAGGTTGTGCACCCGCACGGCGTGGTGCATCGCGTAGGTCCAGTAGATCGGCGGCAGCTTTGATTGCTTCATCAGCGCGCGCACCTTCGTCATCAGTGTGCTGTTTGTGCGCTCAGCTATGCCTTGCTGCTGGTGCGCGTACGGAAGGGAAATGTGATGTTCGATTCCCTTCTGCGCCAGATAATCTTGCAACTCCTTGCTTCTGAATTCTGTTGCGCCGCCCGATTGCCAAATTTTTAGCTTCTCCCCGGATTGCCGCTGCGCGTGCGCCAGCCAGAGGCGGAACACCTCGTATGCTCTGCTGCATGCTTCAATATTTACGACCCAGACGTAGCGCATCCTTGCGTCAACGAAGGTAAGCGTGTACAGCTTATCGTTGATTCCGCAATTCCCCACGTTCAGAAAGTCGCTATACACCTTGTGCAGCTTGGGGTAGCGGTTGGTTCCAGGTTCGAGCAGCGGGAACGGTTGGTGACTCAGCGCAGCTTCGGGGCAGACGGTGCAGTTGCGCGGGTGTGTCGCGCCTCTCACTTCGGTGCCGTCTGGGCGTAGGAGTGCGCCAGGCGCAAACACGCCTGATTCGATGCAGTTCTTCAGCGTTGCGCGCGAGGGGTGACCGAGGCGCTGGTGCCAAAGGTCGTCGTTTGCGCGGAATTCGGAGGTGCGCATGTAGCGCACGCGCACTGTATCGGGATCTTCTTTTGGTGCTAGGGCAGGTTTTGCTGTTGCTTCTTCAGCTTCGTCCTCATCGCTCGCCGTCGTCAGCATTAGCGCTAAAAAATATCTGTCGAGAATGACGGAGACAGGAATGTTAGTGCCGGGGATCGAGCCAGTGACGAAGGTAGGCTCCCGCAGCTCGGGAGCAGGTCCGTAAGCTGTGCAGCGTGGGGTCGACGGTTTGTTGCCCCAGGCGATGGTGTCCCAAGGGTCGTGGTGCGGCAGGACTTCAAGTGGTGGCAGCGGAGGTGCGGGAAGACGAGGGGAACGGCCGAGGGGGACGACCGAGGGGAACAACGCGTGGTTTGGCTTCTGCAGTCTCTTCTTCCCCCCTTCGTTTTTCTCGCCAGACACTCCAACCTTCACCGGAAGTGCCCCACCCGCTGGTGTCGCCGCCAGTTGCAGCGCCCCAGCTGCCAGTGTTGCTCGTTCCCCATCCGCCAACGCTTCCCCACCCCCCTTCATTGGAGGCGCTTTCCTCCTCCGCTCCCCAGGCACCGCAGGCAAAAGTCCCGCGAGCTTCAGCAAGGCTCTTCTTGCGGAGTTCTTCGGCTTCGCGGTGCGCTAGCTCTTCTTCTTGTTCCACGGTAAGCTCTGTCGTTGGGTCGCGCCAATGGGGGTATAGCTTCATGAACTCGTCTTTGGAGTAGGGGCGCGCCACACCGCGCGCGTCGAAAATTCCGCGACGTTGACCGCGTAGGATGGTTTCGAGCCGCTGAGAGGGGGAACCTGCGAGTGGGTTCTGGTTGGCGCCGAAGACGTGGTGCGAAGCCACTTCCAGCTCCAATGCTGACATGCCTTCTTCAGGCGGCGCCGCTTGTTCAGCTTTGGCGATGGCGGCGAGGCCACGGCCGGCGATGGCGCTCGTTGAA